CTCATTATTTCAAATGGCAGAATGTTAAGCATATCTTCGATTTCCTTCCCAGCCATGTTTTTATTCTTATAGCACCACCTGGTAGAATGGGCGTTGAAGTCTCCTAATACCACAGTTTTGTGGGAAATGTTCAGAAGATCCAAGTTGGGATTATTTTGGGGTGGATTATAGACCGTGTATATCTTGAAGTGGTTTCGACAGTTCCAAGCATTTAATCTGTTTATTTCGCATATATCTTGTGTCGAGCCCATACTCTTGATTAGATCGTAATGTGATGTGAGGCCTTCTTTTACTCCAGTCAGAATTCCACTTGCAACTTGCCGGTATTTAGGTAGAAGGTATAAGGTGTAACCTGGGAAATGGTAGTATTTGAGTTGGTTGGCCTCCATGACTGTGAATATGTCTATGTCATAGGTATGTAGGATTTTCTGTACTTGGATCTTCTTGCCCTGTGACATCCCACCCAACATTCCACTGAAGGATCTGTAGAAGTTGTGATTCGCCCTGACGAGGGCGGTTTCTCTTATAGCTTCGTTTCAAGCTAATTATAATAAATTGAAGTCAAATCCCGAGTAGTAGATTTTTTTGCCGTATGAATATACGTTGTCCAGGGTGCACCACGTGAGGGGTAAGTCTATCGCGTGGTACGCGATCATTGCGATTTTCAAACAATTTTATGGCGAGTCTTGCAAATAGTTCCCTTAGCACTTGTTGTAGTCAAACCTGCAACTTCTGCAAATATCATAAGATAGTATTTTTTCTTTTCCCTTATTATCCTTTAATGTGATTATTTAATTCCGCGTTTGGTTATGCCACATCGGGTTAATTGTTCCCTCTTACAACGAGGCAGAGGCACGCTTTATACATAACAGAAATCGTTACTAGTGGGTAATAACTTATATATCTCCCCCTTCCCCAACCAGATGTGTTCCAACTTGTACTTATTGTTTGTTGGGGGGTGGGGGGTGAAGGGAGTGACAGAGCGTATCTAGGAAAAGAATCCACCATGATGCTGGATGGATATAAGAGTCATGTAAATTGGATAGTGATAGCTCTGCAAGACTGAATAACTACCATTTCTACACTGATATGCCTATTCCAGCTTCAAGACACTTGGCGCATTTGCAAACATTACATGTAATGAAATTGACCAACGGTTGAATGGTAGTTGGGGGAGGGAGGAGTAGAAGGGAAATTCTTTCATTTACCTTAACTTACTACTATGCCCACTTAAATCCTATATATTGTAAAACAATAAAGTGATAAGATAAATGCGAAACTTGGTTCAATTTACTGAATCATTAATTTTATTCGTAATTGGTGTAACGAAGGCGAATTGCTAACACCTGGAACATGGCAAGAAGAATTATTTGCTAATAGGAAAAGGTAACCTCTCCCACCCCCTCCCCCACCCACGTGAAAATGATAATTTTTGCTTTTGCGGATAGGTGAAAGAACGAGAAACCATATTTATTTAATTTAAACAAAGCACTGGTGTGCCAAAAATATTGTTGTCAATCTCATCCACCCTACTCTTGGTCGTAATAAGTCTATAAATGCATCGAGATTCCAACTAAGCATTTCAATTGACTGGTGGACAAACTTTGGATTTTTGGACATAATTTCACCCCAGCGCGTGGAGATAAATTCAAAGATTGGACATATCATTTAGAGTGTGAACCACGCCGTACTCAAAAATTCAATCGAATTTAGACTCACGATTTCCCTTCTCGTTTCTTCTTGTACTCCCTCTGCTTCATGCTTTAATAATTCTGTTTTCCCAACCCGCAATCTGATATGTTCAACCTTTTTTAAACAAATTAACTTTTTGTCAATTATTTATTAATTTTGACTTTGTTTGTGTTTATCTTTAAAATTCAATATTATTTATTAATTATAATTAATAGAATTAAAAGACAATTTTATTATTATTATTATTCTCACTTTTTTTCCACTCAAAATGTTCATCAGTTAGCTTAGTCATTTCAAGAGAATAGAAAGTTTTAGTGCGCAAGTGTGAACTAATTACCACAAGCATGTCCTATCGCTTTAAATCTACGTCAATTAGGGGCTAATTCTTCCCAATGCCTTACTGTAGTGGAATTAACGCATTCATCGTATTTTAATCTACTTATGGTCTTCCATAATGAAATTATATAATTATCTATTAAACCTTTGTAGGATGTTTTAAAATTCGAACTGCAACTATTACCTTTATGTCAACCCATTTGAAGTAGAATCGCAAGATATAAAAGTTCTAAAACAATTGGTTCATAAGTGTTTGATTAATCGTTATGAAGCCTTACAGTTAATCGATACCTTTGCATTTATTCCTTTGTAAAGAGTTGCCATCTTGATCCGAATCTGGTTATATTAGTCACTATTTCGATAATCTGCCCATTACAGATCTGCTTTTTCCCTTCACCCTAGATAGATACAAGCAATTCAAAACGGTATAAGCGGTCATTCAACAAAATCAATCTATCCACAAGCTCTGAATGCGGCTTATAGGTAGCTAAAATTATATTTCTTTTTTACGTTGATAGAAATAACTAGAAAAAAATATGAACCAAAACGAGTACTCCACAATGACTGGTAACAGCGGTGTAGAGACAGGTCGGACCAGGGTACCAGTGCGATTGCACCGTCGCCAGACAACACTCGACTCCATGCCACCCCCTGTGATCGGTCCAGATGGCTTTCCAATCTTTAAAGAACCACCGCACGCCGATGCGCCTGATGTTGGAATGCAGGTGAACTTCCTGACCCGCATTGTCCACATCCTGATGTGTCGGTGTACTAAGAGATATTACACTGCTTGGATGTGCTCTTTGGGTTTTATGATCACTTTTGGAATAAGGTGCAACATGAGTTGGGTCACGCTGGCGATGGAACAACATCATCCGCATTCGAAGGAGACGGTGATGGTATCAAATGTCTCGATATCCACAGTGAGAATTTGTCTATTGTTCAAATTATACAAAAATTATGAGGTTAAAACAAATTAGCACAGCGCACCCTCAGCTAAGATATTGATCAATGCTTGTATTATATTGTTATGAAAACTTAGTTATTTTGGCTTAATATATACGCATATTTCAAAAAAAATTAATACGCGTATAAATGTGTCGCAGTTTCAACAACATTAGCATTAGCATAAGATGATAAAATTTATATCTCTTAATATATTTTAAAATTTATTTCCTTATTTGTCCAAATTAGCGAAAAGGTTTAAAAAACTATAAATACATTGATGTGACAGTCATTCTCGAAACTAAATGAACACTCGAATTTGACAGACCCATTACAATTTGCTCTCAGGAGAATATGACACAAATTTGTCAAATGAAATTTAAATAAGGACTCTGATACAGTGCTGTAACTATCGAAAACTTCACGACTTCCTATTGGATAATTCGTCTGTTCACTATTTTCATTAATATCGCTAATTGGCGTTTACATTAAGGATGTATAAGGTCTATGGCAATTATATTAATTTATTTTAAATTGTGTTTATTTTAATATACGTGGCTAATACATATTTGGCATTGCTTACTTGAAATTCATAGTTCTTCACGTACTTTGTGTAGTAAAATTAACTAGAGAAGCTAAAATTAGAAAACGGAAATTGAATTTCGCCCTAATGTTTCAACCCATGCATACTATATTAAAGCCGTGTGTGAAAAAGAACAATTTTCAATTTCTATTTATTGTATTAAAACAAATTGCGAAATGGGCTAAAACAAAGTTGGGGGGCGGGGTGGGGGGGGGCCATAACATGGAATACCCCTAACATAATTGTCGCCTTTTAAATTTTTATATTTTTTTTCCATTAAATTCCATCCAAAAACAATTATGCCGTCTTTTGACCACCATTGAAGTCGAATCAATTTCTGCCTCTGTGAATTCTAGTGTTATCTTTTGTTATGGCATTGCTTCTTTGAAAGAAAGCCTTTTTTGTTGAATTTGGACAATTTTCCGAATAATAAGTCGGGAACTGATGGTTAAAGTGTGATTATTATTTAAGATATTCGTCCATCTATTATTGTAGATGGAAAACCCTTATAAGATACGCATAAAGGGATTCCTAATTTGGATTTTGAATTATAGTTTAATTATGTAATTCGCTAAGTGCTTATTTAATATCGTTGATTAATTTTCCGTTAAGGCGAAATTTTTATTTAATGCACAATTTAATCGATTAACAATGAATTGAAATATTCTCTTCTTTATAATATTAATGTCTTGGCAGTTTTGACTGATTTCATTCACTTTTAAAGGTCATCACTTTTTTCTCAACTAAAGTTAAAATTTCTGAGACGCAATCTGTAAATGAAAATTTATTAATAGTTAAATTTTTATCAAAAATGAAATCTTAAAAAATCCACATTTCACCCTAATTTGATAATTACGGTGTTAAGAATAGGAATAACAAATATCATTACCTAGTAAAATTATGTTTAGCTTTACTTACAGAAAGGCAATCTTTACCTTTACTGCATCACGGTTGAAAAAAACGGACAACATGACGAATGACCTTCAAGTTTTAGGCCAGAGATTTAGAAGATCTAAGAAGCTCAACAATAAGAAACCTTTGTCTCTTCTCTAACTCTAAAATGAAAATATTTTGTTTTCAATTTCTTCTCAACGAACGAAGTATCTGGGCTCCATGGGGCAGTCTCAATTTCAAATGCTTGAAATTGGCTGCGTGACTAATTTCGTCTTTATGAACTTGCTCATTTTTAAGCTTTTCGATTGATGGAAACCCCATTTGTTCCTGTTCCATATAGTACCTCATTTTCAGAACTAATCGAGTTGAAATTTGACTTGAGTGCTGGGCAAAATATTTATCAACTTTTAATCGAATTATTTATGGGGCTAATCATCCATCATAGCCTATTTATTAAATAACTTGATAGCAACAAGTATCAGGTGGTCGATATTCATCAATATACTTCCATTATATCATTATGACAAATTCCATAATGCGTGGCCTGGGTGATCTAGTCATTTACTGTGAAGGGACTTTCACAAAATCTTTTCTCTTTTTGCGGCCTTAAAATAACATAACTAAATGCGTTGCCGACTTCCCTCAAATAAGCTTCTTTTTACAGCTTCTATGCCTGATAGTTAATTAGTTGAGTTCAACAAATATTATCTTCATTGTGTCAAAATTGACTTCCTACTAAAGGCACGTAAATGTCCTATTTATCAGAAGCGGCCATTCTTCCAATGAGCATTAATTCTTTTGCAATCATCATGAGATCTATTATTATTATTCCTGGCTGACTCAATACCTGGTTGTCTTCTAATTGGCTGCCTTTCCTCCTACACTGTGGAATGAAGAGACTAAAATTGTCACTTCCATTAACATAACGCGTTCCCCACCTCAACTCAACTCAACTCTGCCCTCACCTAAAAGGGCGTTCTCTTTACTCGGGCGTAAGCACTCTAGGGAACAACTCATGCTCACTTCCTCTCTCCTTCTCCTCCTGAGCCGTAATATCTTTTAGTCCCTAAAAGGAAGCATGCCGTTTTAATGGCTTTAAGTGCTCAGAAACTTAGTCGAGTGTTTTAGAGCTGTGAATAAGCAAAGGTGTCGACCCATATAGCCACTATTTTATTTCATTAACGCGCAAGTACATGGGGTACGATCAACCGGAATATTTGCAGATTTTTTAAGGTAAATATATTGCAAATAAGTGGAGGAATTTGCCATTGAGGTCATTGAAGTGAAGCATTTTCACACCTTCTGGATAGCCATTAGTGCCCGAATGTACGTAGATAATTTGTCACTTATTTAGTGAGGTCTAAGTAGAACGCGCCTTAACACGACACGACTGTGTACGAATGGTCAATTGTAAATCCAGTAGGCTTTAGTCTATTTCATTTGCATGGGAAGCTCATTAGTTTGCGCTTATCGATTTCCAATCCTTTCACGATAAATTGCAGGAAAAAAGTCTACATTTCCGCTTAACGAGTGATAAATGTATATCGGATTGTCCATCCAATTCCTATTCTTTCTTACAATTTATAGAAAACTGATAAACAAATTCCTAAAGCTAGAATAAAAGCACTTTTAAGCTCGAATGATTGAAAATCCCAAATTTGGTCAAAACTTAGCTTAATAAAAGAAGGTAAATCTAATGGGCTTTAAATAAGTAAGCAATTTTTTATCAAAACAATTGTGACTAATAATTTTCCCATTTATATATTTCCCCTGTTAAAAAACGATTATTGCCTAAAACGGGGGGGGGGGTTAATTACCTCTGTTAGAACATTTTGACACCCTAAAAGTAACGAAAATGATAACTATTCTAATAATATGATGTTTGAGAGACAAATACATGGTGAGGTAAGATTGATAAGTCATAATTTTGAATAGTAATTATTTAATAATGTCATTACTAAAACATCCTAAAATATTAAATACTTAAGTTTAGTGAGCAGCCAATCAATACGGTTGATTATGAAACGAATTTTTGGCCTTAAATTTGTCAACGTTTGAAGTGTATGAAAATGTTACTCATTTCGCTAAAAAAGTGAAAGTTTTGGCTTAAAATTAATTGAAAAACCCACACATAAAATCTGTGTATGCAAGGTAAGTTTACCGAAATTGCGCACTTAAAATTTCAAAATGAACGTGAAGCGAGGATTTGTTTAAAATGAGCACATCCCGGGAGATTTCGAATTGAAATTTAGAAGAGCCATTTGCTTTACTCTCTACAGATGATTTAAGCAAGTTAATTAAATGATTTAAAACAAAACTAAATTAATTGAATGGACTGAAAAGTCTTTAGAGTTTTGAATTCGATATAAAATTCAATAAGAGCTCGTGTGAAGACAAATTTATTTAATGCAATATTCAATCGCTCTTCGTTAGTTCTTGTTCGTCTATAATAGAGAAGTATTTTAAATGCTTTTTTCATTAGTATATTTAAAAAACCGCAAAATGATTTGTAAATAAACTTTGCACAACTTTTAATTGGGTAAATAAGTGCTTATTCATTGACGTAATTTTCAGAACTTCAGCCTTCATCACTTCAAGGTCTTTTTTTTAAAAATTGATCAGTTTAAAGGAATTTTGATAACAGTGGACTTATTGTCTATTAGTTGCGTAATAGCTACTGTTGGCGTGCTAAAAATTCTACGAATATCGAGTTATAACACACAAAACAGAAATTGAGAGCTTACTTAGCTTTGTTAATTTGGAGATTTTAGCTATCCCAGCTCTGTCGCGTTAGGATCAGTGAGCCAATAAATATCACATTAGATCATTTGATTTTCTCAACATTTGGAAGGAAAAGATAGACTGAGGTGGCAGTCTTAGCGTTTCAGATTAGAAACATGTCTCTTTGCTCTGGTAATATTCAAGTAGAATTCGTCTAGTTTAGATATGGCAAAATTTGAATTTGAAAATCGAATGCACTAGAACGCTCAGATTCTCTGACGTAACTCTCCGCTTCCTCTTGATCCCATCTCCTTTATTACTTGGAGAGCCCTTCCACTTATCGATTTCATTCCCCAAATAGAAATCTTATACTGCACTAATGTGGGTGGTTAGAAAATTGATGCGCATAATATTAAAAAACTAGATATGAATACGGCGGTAATTTGGTAAGTCAGGTTACCAGAAGATCTTCTGATCGATTTGTAATATTATCAAGTGCTAAATCACGAGAGGTATACATAAATAAGAACATTTATTTATTTATTTATATCAAATGGCAGGCGTTTTGATAGTTATCACTAGCCGTGGAGCTGACTTCGGGGCTTCACAGAGGGAAGGTTCAACAAAGTAGCAGAAAGTCGAGGGGTGGGGAACAGAAGAGCGATTCACAGATGTAAAAGAGGCAGACAGACACAAAGGTAGAGAAAAAGGTGAGGTGAGTACTGTGGAAGGGGTCGAATATGACAACCAGGGGGGTCGTGGTAGTTTGAAGTCAGAAGTCAAATGCCGGTTAATAGACTTTTTTGCCGTATGAGTATACG